TCATTTCTCATCATCCTCCCCAAGAGGATGCTATAGCATTCTTGTCTTTGCCTCTTTGCATTTGTTTCTAAAAAAAGTTTTAATTTGTATTAGTACACATTTGTAATACACAGTTATTACATGCAATATGGGGAGTTGGTACATGTACATAGCACATCTTAATTCTTAATTCTTTCTACTTCCCCTTCCCCTCTCCTTCCTATTCCTTCCCTTCTTCCCATCTGCAAAAGATCTTTCTCTCTTTCCTATTATCTATCTTTTATTTTTCTCTTTAAATTATTTATACTTTGGATTTCTTATATGAGAGAAACCATGCAGTATTATTTAAGCTTGTGTGTCTTTGCATCTTTCTCACCTGTAATTATTTTTATTAGTACATATTTGCCATACATAATGATCACATTCATCAGAAATTCATAGGAAATTTATACTGTGCATAATATGTCTTTTTTATTTTAAAGAGAATAGTAAAAAAAAAACCAAAACACAAACAAAACAAAGCAAGAACATAAAAAATGATATGGGGTTTCAAACCAAATGATAGGAGTTAACAGTGGTCATTATATTACATATCGTTATCTTCAACAAAGTTACTCAGATTACCAAATATAAGAATGGAAGATTGATCAAACCATTTAAGAGAATAAGAAAATAATAATTTTTTTAAAAAAATTAGAGACAATACAGAGGTTCACTAGATAAGATGGTAGGAATTCACCAGTGGTTGTTATATTGCATATTGTTGTCTTCATATCTGTTGCTCAGATTACCGGATGTAAGCATGCAAAATTGCTCAAAATATAAAAAAATTTAAGCATTAACTGTTCCTTTCAATAAACCACCAGACATCAGCAGTACAGTTATCCTAGCTATCCTTCTACAAACACACACACACACACACACACACACACACACAGTTCTTTCCTTTTCTTCTTTCCCTCATCCCAGTTGTTCTTTCCTTTGAGCAATTTCTTTCCCTTTCACATTATCTATTGTATGTTTTGGGTTTTGAAGACAATATGGTGTTTACACATGTGGGTCTGATTTATTTCACTTATGAGTATGGTCTCCAGTTGCATCCATTTACCTACAAAAGCCTTGAGTTTATCTTTCTTTATAGCTGAGTAATACTCTATTGTATAAAAATACCACATCTTTTTTAACCATTCCTCAGTTGATGGGCATTTGGGTTTTTTCCAAGATTTAGCTATGACAAATTCTGCTGCTATAAACATGAGTGCACATATGTCTTAGTTTTTCCTTTTTTCCAATTCCCCTTGTTATGGTTTGTGTCTGTGTGTCCCCCCAAAGCCTCTTGTGGCCATGAGGCAGGCTTTTAGAGTTTGATTGATTATGGGTGTGAGAGCTACACCCACCCTGGGGTGGATAGTTTGCATATGTAAGGGAGAAGAAGAGGCTGCTTGAGGCCATTCCTCCCTTGTGTGTGTTTGTTGATTCAGCTGTGTTCTGCCTCCATGAGCTGTAGCCTTCTGCCATGTGCCATTCTGCCTTGTAATCTGCCAAGTATGGACTGAAATCTCCACAAACTGTAAGTGAAATAAACTTTTCCTTCCTTAATTTTGGCATCAGGTATTTTGTCCCAGCAATGAGAGAAAAGTAACCAAGACACCCCTCTCCTCCCTTCAACCCTTCTTCCCCTCCCCACTTATAAAAGCTTTATTTCCATTCTTTCTCTTCCATTCTCTTTTTAATATCCTTTTCTTGTGTCTTTCCAATCTGTAGTTCATCTTGCTACTATTCTCATCATACTAAAAAATGGTTTAATGCATGTCCTTACTTAAAACCCCTTGATAGCTCTTCATTATGCAGAATAATCTACAAACTTTCTCTCAGGAACTTCATTTTAGGATTTGGATCTGGTCTACCTCTCTAGTCACACCTCTTGCTACCTTTGCCCTAAATCTCATGTTTCAGACATAGTGCAGTCATTTCAGTTCTGCGAAGCAAACCATGCTTTGTTTTATTCTCATGTTTTTGCTTGTTTTTGCCATTTTCTCTACTCCTCACCCATTGAATTCATAGCTTTCCAGGCTCAGTTTAGGTGTTTGTTCCAAGTTGCTCCTGGGCTTTTCTCAGTCTAGATTAAGTGCTCTTCTTCTCTCTCCCACAGCATCCTGAACTCGTCTTTAACATAGTCAGGAAACTATTTCACAATTCATACTTGCCTTGTTGCTTTTTCTGGATAAACTTCAAGCTCCCCCTAGTTCCTCAAATTGGGTAGTGGATGCCTGTACTACACTTTTCTAATGTAAATATTTACTTTAGTGTAATGGTAGCTGGCTGTGCATCTCAGTAGCTGCACTGGGGGAATACAGGAAGCAATCTCTGTGTCCACCCACTTAATAGATGAATGGCAATGTGTATGTAAGTGTCTCAAAGTGTCAACAGATAAGTTTTTACCCACTTTATGCACTGTTACACATTTGTGCATTTATAATTTGCTTTATTAAATATTTTCTTTTGATTTTTCTTGTAGAATTAGCCCAGTTCAGTACAATGTTACATGAAAATCTGCTTTTACAACTTTGGGAAGAGGTTGAAAGTGGTCATCAGGTGACTTGGCTACTAATGATGACTTGGATCATGTAAGCCAAAGAAGCTGTGACAGTGAGATAGAGCAAGATATGACAGATAGGGAAATACAGAATGAGGACCTTGGTTCAGATGAAGAAGGAACTAGTAAATGAATATTTGACTGGTCAAAATTCTACAAAATGGTCATGTCTAAGTGAATAATCCAGTGTTAGAACTAGGTTGGAAAATGTTACTAGGTTCTTTCTGAGAGTAAAACCTATCAGACAGAATACCAACACTGTGATTCCATGTTGGAAATTGTAATGGACTATATGCTACAAGATGTTGTGAAATATACTAATAATGAAGTACAAGTAAAATGTTCTATATGCACCAATCGTAATACTCAGAAATATACCTATCAAGACACCGCACTATCTGAACTAAAAGCTTTCATAGCTAGACTTTATCATTTTAATCATCAGAATCTAAAGGATTTATGGAGACATGATAGATGTATTGTTGAGATTTTTAGAACAATAATGACACTCAAGAGATGTGGTTTCCTTCAAAATTGCCTGTGTCTTGATGACAAAAAGACCTGCTGAAAAAGAAAGAAATCTGACAGTTTGGCAGCTATTCACTCATTTTTTGAAAGGTTTGTTTTGAACTGTCAAGCAATTTATACACCATTCAAATACACAACAATTGACAAGCAACTCACATTGTTTCATGGTTGTAGCCTTCTGCAATATATGCCAAATAAATCTTCTAAATATGGCATAAAAATATATATCCTGGTAGGTGTGAGGACATTCCACGCCTTGAATTAAGAAATTTATTAACTCAGCCATCAGATCTTTATTCACGCAGTAATAAACCATATGACATTGTGAACAGACCTGTGGCACCTATTTCAAAAAGTGACAGAAATGTCACATTGGACAATTGCTTCACTACTTACTCATTGATGTTACATTTCCAAGTGGTCAAAACCAGTTGGCAAGCACAGGAACTATCTGCAAGAATAAAGTGGAGATTCCCCTGCAAAATGTTGCATGTTCACAATAGAGAAATGGGTAGTACAAGCTTTGGATTTCAGAAAGACATAACATTGGCCTTGTATATGGTGAAGAAAAACAAAGTAGTATCGATACTGTCAACATTACACCACAATGATAAATTTGAAAGTAAAGCTGGGAGTAGTGCATGCCTGTAATCCCACCACTAGGGAGGCTGAGGCAAGAGGATCCTTGTTACGGTTGATACATTGTGTCAATTTGAGAAGTTTAGAAGGTTAACTATGTGACTCAGCAGGGGCCAAGGTCCTCACATTGTAAACATACTGAGCATGTGCAAGAGGAGGGCACAGGGATGCTGTGGGTATAAAGGACCCACCCCAGGGTGGAAAGCCTGGTTACAATATAAGGAAGGAAAAGAGGCTCACTTCCCTGCTTTTACCCTTGTTGCTTTTGCTGTCTTCTGCTGCCTTGAAGTGTTGCCCCTGTGCCATGCCACCCTGCCTTGGAGCCATCTGATTATGGACTGAAACCTCCACAAACTGTGAGCTAAATAAACCTTTCCTTCCTTAATTTCGGGCATGACTTATTTTGTCTCAGCAATGAGAGAAAGGTAACTAAGACAAAGGGCTGGGGATTTAGCTCAGCAGCAAAAGCGCCTGCCTGGCAAGCGCAAGGTCGTGAGTTCGGTTCCTGGTACTGGAGAAAAACCAAAAAACAAAAAAACAAAAAAAAAAAGAAAGGTAACTAAGACAGAATTACAGTCCTGTAAGTTCAAGATCAGCCTGTGCTACATAGTGAGTTCTAGGCTAGCTTGGAGTACATAGCAAGACCCTGTCTCAAAAAAAAGAGAGGAAAAAAAGATTGAGTGAATCCTCAACACAAATGAAGCTACAAATGATCACATTTTACAAAATGAAAGGCAGAGTAAATGTTGACAAGTTATACAGCAACTATGATGTCACTCAAAACACAAAGTGTTGGCCAATGATTATGTTTTACTCAATCCTAAATACATCAGGCATAAACAGTTTCCTATTTTGCAAAGAAAATAACAAGCACAAAATATCATGGAGAAATTTTCTTAAGATTGGGCCTGGAATTGGTAAATGATCAATTAAAACAGAGGAAGAACAATATGTATCTGCCCAAGGGATTCCAGAAAAGAATTCTGGAGTAGACAGGTGAACAGGCAGGTGAAACATTGTAAGAACCTCCAAAGAAAACAGAAAGACCAACAAGATCTCAAACACGTCCTATTAAGAAAGACAGGAAAGGGGCTGGGAATTTAGCTCAGCGGCACAGCGCCTGCCTGGCAAGCGTGAAGTCATGAGTTTGAGTCCTGGTACTGGGGAAAAAAACAAAAAAAGAAGAAGAAAGACAGGAAGACTAACCACAATGTGCTATCAGTGTGATACTTGTGCACAGAAGTGCTGTTTTTATGTGTGAAGATTGCCTTAGGTGTGATAATTGAAACAAAGATGATTTCTGTGGTAGAGTTTTATTTGTATTTTCACTGTAGTTCACATACCAATTTATTTCTGTTGTTCTTTTTTAGATCTAGTAAACAAACAAATAGTTGATGTAGAAAATGTTGATGCTTATTCTAAATACTCAGTACATATTTGATATTTTATTTTCCTGCTAAGTGTACATTGTATAATATAATAGGATCCTCCTGCAAAAACAGAAAGGTAAGAGAGGTGGCCAGTATGTCTTGCCAAGAAAGGCAAGCAAAATACACATGTTCCCAGTGTAAGCGATACTTGTGTATATAGCATGCTATTTTCATGTGCAGAGACTGAATAAGGTGTGGTAATTGAAGTTAAGATTATTTCTGTGGTAAAGTTTATTTATATTTTCATTGTAGTTCATATAGGAATTTATTTCTGTTGTTATTTTTTAGATTCTGTAAGAAAGTAAACAGTTGGTGTTGAAAACAAGGACGTTTATTCTAAACACTCATTACATATTCAAAATTTAATATTTTATTTCATTGATATTTTGTCTTACTAAGTACACATTGTAGAGGATAATAAAACTCATAAAATTAAAATAAATAATTCATCAATAGAAATACTCCTACAGAATAAATGTGGGCATCAAATGCCCATTTTAATGCTCCTTTTAAAAAAATTTACCATGATGCCCCAGGTTAAGGTCAAGATTACATCTGAGCTACGTTTGCTTCCCATCACTAGGATGGTGTCTAACACATGACAAATGTCCAGTAAATATACTGAAATACTTGAATACTGATTTTGAATGTTCAGACATACAAAACTTTGTGGGGGTGCACATATGTATAAAATTCACATTTCTGTTTTTGATGAGCCGACCACCTAGCAAGCAAAGCCTGCATATAAGAAAAGTATAAATAAAAAGATATTGTATAACTGCATTCACTGAAAAACGATGCCTGTAGGCTTGAGCTTGGTATTGATCTGGAAAGCTTTGTGTTAGAAGAAAGGCCTGAGTAGCAACATAAAAGGAAGTAGATTCAAATAGCTATGCAGAGTGTTTTAAGCCTGGGGAGTAAGAGAGAAACATTCACTATCTTTGTACCATACTTATGGGGAATGGGATGGAAATACTCACTGCAGTAGAGACGGATTGAGAGATGTTGAAGAGGTAAATGTGTGTGCATGTGTGTGGGGGAGGGAGTCATACGTTAAAATTTGGAGCACACAGCAGTAGATTTTAAGTATGTCTTCGTCATTTTTGCCCTCTCTGCTTCAGCATGGAACTCCTCGGCATTCTAGATTGTCCGTTCATCACAGATTCCTTGTGTCTCCTCCAGAATGCAGAAGAGAGCAATTAAGATATTTTCAAAGTAGAAAGTCTCCCTATCAAGTAATTTCACTTTCTTCCCTGCAGTTTCCTGATGTCCTTAAAGGTACTATACACTAGATTCTTACCCCATTTATTTCTCTTTCTTTATTTTCTGTCTTTCTCTTTTTCTACTTCTTCTTTCTCTTCCTCCTCCTCTTTTTCTTCATTCTTCCTGCCTTCCTCCTCCTCCTTTTTCCTCTCCTCCTCCTCATGCTTCATTCTTCCTTCCTTGCCTCCCCCTTCTCTTTTCATTCTGCCTTTCTCCTCCTCTTCTCCTCCTACTCTCCTCTTCTCCTCCTCTTCTTCCCCCTCCTTCTTCCTCCTCATTTTTGTTTTCCTTCCTTGTTCCACTTCCCCTCCCCTTCTCCCCTCTTCCCCTTTCTCCTCCTCTTTCCCCTGCCCCTTTCCCTTCCCTCTCCTCCTTCTCTTGCTTCTCCTTCTCCTTCTTCCAAATGGGGTCTTGCTATGTTGCCCAGGCTAGCCCCAAAACCCTGGGCTCAAATGATCTTCCTGCTTGGCTTCCCAAGTAGCTGCGGGTATGGCTCTGTGCCCCCTACTCTCAACTAGTTCTATTTTTATTTTAAATGTATCTTTGTGTTTGTGTGATTTTTCCCGCAGCCTGTGCTACACACAAGCAACACAAGCCTTGTAACTTCCAATTTGATAGCTCCTTCTTACTTTCACTTCAATATATACTTGAACTGGACAATTCCAGGAGAGCTAAAGGTGAGAAAAAGATGAAGAGCTTACTAGTCTATCTCCCTAAATTTCAGGGTTTGGTTCAGTCTAATCATAAACTCTGCACAATCATCTTTAGAGTTTAGGGTCTAGACAATAAACTAGACCCAAATCCTTAAACAGTTACCTACCAACACAAACTTTAACTGTCTTTCTAGCCTTTACAGGAACTTGGGCTAATAGGTCTTATCAAAGTTGTACTTAATCTTCAAGACTCCCATAATGGAATCCCATCCTCTCTACCTGTCTTTATTTCTGAGTACTTAAAACAGCAACAGTGAGCCTTCCAGTTAGGATACTTCACACTTGGTCCTGCAAGGTCCAGCTCAAACTCCTCGTCCTTTAGATAACTTGGCCCCCAAGCCTCTCTGACCTCTCCTTTCTTTCAGTGGTGAGTTCTACATTGTTGACTATATCTCCCACTTGTAATTTACATCAAAAAGCATAGCATCCTGTACTGCCTGGCCCCAGTACACACACACACACTCTCTCTCTCTTTCTCTCTCTCTCCCCCCCCATACACACAAACTTTTGCTAGCCGCTCCACACTAAACTGAGGATAAAGTGTGGTTTGTTGCAAGGTAATTTAAAAGAAGGCATTTCCTCCAACTTTATCCCATACTGATACATGTGAATTAATTTTATTTCAGACCTTCACACAAGTACTCCTATCATGGAGTCAGAATGTCACCTCTCAGTGTTTTGGTAAAGGCCCTCCATCTACAGATGAGGAAACTGAGAGGAACTGACTTACACAGTATATAAAAATGTAGCTCTCATTATTGCTTCACATTTTATAGTCACCTCCTCCCCCTGCCCCTACTCCCACTGGCCAAATAACCTTTATTTCTTGTGAGTAAGGATCATCATATGTTGTGCATTTTCTTTTCTCTTTTCTTTCTTCTTTTTGGCAGTACTGAGGACTGAACCCAGGGCCTTGTGTGTGCTAGGTAAGTGCTCCTGCTGATATAAATGTATTTATTTATCTATCCATTTATTTATTTTAGGGACAGGGTCTTGTCAAATTGCCCAGGATGGCCTCAAACTTGTGATCCTCCTGCCTTAGCCTCCAGACTAGCTGGTATGTTTTGTACATTTTCTACATCTACATTATCATCTCTCAGTCTTCCCTTGTTTCCCACACAGGATCAAGAACCAGGAGGGGCATACAAGGTGCACTAAGGAAAGAATCGATTGAATTGAATCCCTGCAGAATGTGGACTATGCAGAAACACTGAGTTTGGGTTTGCACAATAGCAGTGAACAGCAATGGGCCCAAAGAAACATGCCAAGTATGTAGTTGTGTTTGCACAACTAAGTTATAAATATGGTTTTATGCTAACTTGCTTCACAACCCACAGCATTCTGAACAGTGCTCATCACAGAGTAGACTCTCATTAAAGATATTTTAATTGACTAACTGCAGATCAAAAACGAGAGCTTGCTCTGTGTTTCAGGCAGCAAGTGAGTAATTTTGATGAAAAGGAAGCACCAAGTTGTTTAAGATGAACACTGTTGGGGATAGAAGTACTTTTCATGTAGTTCTAGGTTTTAAATTGTTCTCAGAGAAGAGTATCTGGAATCCATGCTGTCTTTTAGGTGGCAAAGAATCATTTTTAAAGTTACCACTATGAAGAGTATGTTATATTTTTAATTATTAGGTAACTTACAGCCATAGGACACATCAAAGAGGTGCAAACTTGAAGATGTTAATTTGGGATGAATTTATTTTGACTTATCCACAATGAGTCTCCTCCTCCCCGTGGGGCCATTTTTAAGACCCATTTCATGGGCTGGCATGGTACTGAATAACAGTAACCTCAAGACTTCAGGAGGATGAGGCAGGAGGATCACAAGTTTGAGCCTAGCCTGGAAAATCTAATGACTTAGTGAAACTGTATCTCAAAATAAATATAAATAAATAAATAATAGCAGTATAGCTTACTTAGTGGGAAGGTCTTACAGTACAAACAAACAAACAAATGATCTTTTGCTTGGATTAATGGTTATCTGATGGCCAGAAAGGGATTGCAATAGATGAAAGTTAACCATCAGTGGATGAGATTTGATCTTGGATGTGGAATTACTTATACCATGCTATAACCAGTTGATCTACTGACTACCCAGCTCGGCTATTTCTATTTTTGTTATTTTGGTCCTTATTCAGGTATCTTCATGTGTAAATGAGAGAAGTTTGAGGTACTTGCAGAATTTTTCTAAATTTGAGCTAGTTTTTTTTTTTTAATTTTTAAAATAAAAGGAGGAAAACATTAACAGACAGACAACCTTTTATAAAATAGCAAAAGAACAGTACAGACAATACAGAGTTACAAACAAAATGGTAGGAAATTAACAATGCTTGTTGTATTACATATTGATACCTTCAAAGTGGTTTCTCATAAAAATAGATAGAGACATGCAATATTGATCAATCAAGGACTCATTGACAGTTTCTTTCAGCAAAGAAATAGAAGACAGTAAAACAACTATGTTAACTATCCTGTATATACATACATACAAAATTTCTCTTTCTTTCCCTTCTCTTTTCCCACATCCCAATTGCCCTTTACCCTTGAGTGTTTTCCTATCATTTCACAATGTCTATCATACCTGAGCTAGTTTCAACCCCAAAATGGACTGTCTCCAAGGAGGGAAAGGACCATTTATTTTAATCATTAACCCAACCATACTGATGAACATTTTTCTGTATGTTCAGGCTGTAAGTAGGCTTATGAAGAAACAAGAAATCTCCAATACTTTATTAAATATGTATTGTGGGGGCTGGGGATTTAGCTCTGCAGCACAGTGCCTGTCTGGCAAGCACAAGGTCATGAGTTCGATTCCTGGTACCGGAAAAAAAAAATACGTACTGTGGTTCTATCCCTTTCCTTTTTCCTCAGAAGGAGCCAGTATCAGGTAGGAGATGAGAAAGTAAGTGGAAGAGCAGAATATGAAAACATTTGCCATTGATGATCACTTTTACTACCTTAGTTCTAGGAAGAGAAACCTTAGGTGTGGTTAGAAAGATGAGATAGCAAGGAATCCAAGCAAGGTCAATGAGTAATGCGAATTTAGTTGTGAAGTCTCATGAACTATATTCTTTCTCATGGATGCACTAGCTAACCATTAGCCAGTCACTGTCACTGACAAAGGCCATTTCCGTGTGGAGGAAAAGGAAGGAGGGAGGTATGCATTTAGATTAGCTACGTGGTCTTTAAGGATACTGTGAGGGCCTACCTGCCCAGAAGAATTTCCCTAACAGTCTACTAGAGCATTTCCTTTTTCAGTACTGGAGATCGGACCCAGGGCTTCCCACTCAGCTACATTCCCAGCCCTTTTCTATTTTTTATTTTTCCACAGAGTATCACTAAGTTACTAAATTGCCCAGGCTGGGCTCAAATTCATGATCTTCCTGTCTCAGTCTCCCAGAGTGCTGAGATTACCCATGAGTGCCACCAAGCCTAGTTTAGAGCACTTCTTGAACCAAAAACTTCTATTTTAGAAGAAATTAACTCATTGGATATGAGCACATTTCTAAGAGGTCCTACTTGATTGGGTCTTTACACTGAACTCCTATTCTTTACTACATATCCCACTTGTGATCAGTTAAGTGATCTAAATTAGGTCCCTAAACTTAGTTGAGGAAGACAGACATATAGAATGCCAGCACTCCAAGTCAGCAGATGCAGTTGGATGTTCTGTTTCTTTTTCAGGTTTCAAAAGGACGAAACCTCAGAAAACACCACAGTTAAACTTGACAAAGGAATAGTTACTGATGATGATGTGGTAAGAAAGAACAGTAGCAAATCTTCTTGTGTATGCTTTGGGGTCTTTTATAAGCTGGATCTACAAACTTCCTACTAGAAAGCAAAAATGGGTTAAAATTTATATACAGAACAAGGTTTATTTATCTCATCTTGTGAAAGACAAACAAGCACAGTAAAAAGAGACAAGGACACATCAGCAACAAATCAGGTATCACTCCCCATGATTAGTATAATTATTATACACCTCACTAATAAAAATGAGAAAAAAAAAACCTTGAAAAAATCGGGACACAAAACCTAGGAACTAGTACCCTGTCTTAGGGATTGCTAAACCTTGATTTACTTAGACTTCAAGGCTCCCTCTTATAGCAAAACTCCCTGGGGCATCTTGGTTGCTTTCCTAGGATTATCATATTCATGTGAATTTCTCAGGCTTTCATTTCATCAGCCAGCGATAATGCAAGGCAGCACAACAAAACCGAAAACATATTCCAATTTGGACAGTCTTGTGGGTTTACTCAACCACTGGAGGTTAATTTGAAACAGAGAGGCAATACCTCAGAAAAATTCAGGAGTAAAAAACATTTTCTCCAGAGAATTTCCCCACTAAAATTAATTTTTTTAGTGGGGCGTGGTGGTGCACACCTGTAATCCCAGCACTCGGGAGGCAGAGGCAGGACGATTGTTGCAGATTCAAGACCAGCCTGGGCTACAAAGTGAGCTCAAGGCCAGTCTGAACTGTACAGTGTGGTGCTGTCTCAAAAAGACAAAATAAATAAATGAATAAAAATAATTTTTTAAAAACAGTTTAAAGAAAAAAGTCTTCATACTTTTCTCCCAAGTTAAAAAAAACTCTTAGATCTCTAGTAATTGTAAATATATTGCACATGTCATATTTTTGAACCAGGTTTTTCATAGTATGTTTTTGTTTGAATAAGTAGACTTCAGTTTTCAAAAAGATAATAAAAATTAACTGATTGTATCTTTGGATTTGTCCTGTATTTCAGCCCAGCCTCCCCAAAGAATGTATGGAGTGGCTCTGCTATTTCTCTTCCCTGTCCTCTTCTAATGACCAAGAATTGCCAGCTAACTTGGCATTTTCTCCCTTAAGCACATCATCTCTTCTCCCTGAGCTCCATCCCATTTTTACTACTGCCTTCTTCATTTGCCTTCCTGCTTTCTTTACCTTCCATAGGATCATCTCCTTTCTCCTGAACCCCATCTTAGCATGCCACCTCTTTGGGAGCATGGCATCTTTAGAGATGCTGATCCAAACACAGGATTATGATCCCCTTGCTCCTGACAGTTTCTGATTACATCAAACCCAAAAGAAAGTAAGTCAGAGCTGTTACCTTCCATGTTCTTATCCCTTCGATTTATCCTTAGATAATCTCGGGCTAGGCGAGGCGGGAGGCAAAAATGCTAGAGGCACTGAAGCAGCAGTGGAGCAGCATTGAAGGCTCACTCCTGCGATATCAGACACAGCACTCAACTACAGATAACCAGTGCTCCCACCAGTGCAACAGCACAAAGTAGCAGGCAGAAGTGACCGCAGAATTCAGTTACTTTTTTCAACACTTCTGGAAGAATTGTATTCTGCAGAGATGTTCAAGAATGCAACAGACACTGTCTCCTCCTCTCCCTTCCTCTCTGAGTGTGTCTGCTCACAGCTCAGTTGCAGAGCCGCACCTAGGGCACTCTGGCACCCACAATCCTTAGGGTGTTGCCCTATTATAATTGCTTTCCTCCTTAAAGGCTGTCCTCCATGTTTACTGTCCCCTGATCTGCCTCCTGTAGAGATGGAAAAAGCAGAGAAAGGGGTACGATTTCATGCAGTGATTTGTCTTAATCCAAATTTTGATACCAACCAAACTACTTCACCTCCTAACAGCATCAACCTGACATTTCCTAAGCCTGGGCCACACTTCCGTTTATAAGCTTCCCTCTCATGATGTCCCAGGTCCCAGTTTTCTTTGCTGTGCCCCTTGTTCCAGAAACCCAGAGTGCAAAACATAAAGCACAGTGTTCTCTTCACTTAGCATTCGTTAGAGACCCCTTTTCAGTGAGTCCAAGTACAGAGTGGAAGATTATGTAAGACAGGTGCCGCGTGAAACCATTAATTGTGATTATTATCTTTAGATTTTTGATGCAGTTGGCCAATCAAAATTTGTCCTAGAGAACCTTCGCTACTACACGACACATCCAGATTTGGTAGGTGGAAAAGCATTTCCCCAAGATCTCAAAGGGTGAGTTTTGGCAGCAGAGCAGGGGCTCCCTACTGAGGGTCACCCTAATGCCAAGTGTGTCCCCCTTCCAGCACAGGAAGGCAGAGCAACTTTAGCTTTAATGACAGAGGCAGTTTCTGGGGTTTGTCACAGGGAGGTGGGAGCGTGGCCCGGGAAGAAAGTGGTTCTTGCACCTGATATTTTTCTCAGTTGAGAAAACAAGTTTATAATCAGGGAAAACATTTATAATTCATTCCTTCCTGCTCCCTTCCCCTGCTGTAATCCTCCTATTGAGAAAAAAGCAAATGTAGTGGGGCTGCCCCATCCCACCCACACCTTAAGTGACATGCTGTGCTTCGTGACTGCCTTTCCTTTGCTTACGAACACCTGCCTGCTCAGGCAGCTGTGCTGGTGGAGAGGCGGTGGAGGTGGGAAGATGAAGATGTAAACTGGGAGGTGTTTGCTGGCCATGCTAGTGAACAGCTTGGTCCCTCCTTAAGCAGCTTAGTCCCTGGCTTCCCCTCTCTGCAGAGGCAGTTGTCCAGACAAGGCCAATCAGGCTGAGCCACATGGGACTTCCCGGTTTGCCCTACTATCCTGGGCACCTTGTTACACTGTTTTTGAAGAATTAAGCATCCTGTTTCTGTTACTGTGGGCAACTTTTGGTTGTGTTTCCCCAGCCCCTTAGGTTATTTGTTGGGGAATGAATGCCCTGAGGGAAGATGAGGATAGCAGGCTTTTGAGAGTTTAGGATCAACACATTTTGGAGCAGATTGGTCCAGTTCCTGCTCAGCCTTTGACTCTACCCCACAAAGGCAAAAGATTAGCCCCCTGATTTGCTAGTCTTCTCTTGATCTAATCTCTTTGTCTTGCCGGAAACCTTTCTGTCCACCCAGGCCCAGTACTATGAGCCTTTGAAGCCCACTAAACTGCATAAATTCCTGGATCAGAACAGGAAAATCACTAGCTTCATGTTAAAAGTAACTGAGTATGATCAGGATATGACCTTACTGATTATGACCAACAACCCACCTCCTTGCTCAATCTGCCAACAGGAAAAGGACAGTGCTCCAAAATACTTTTCGGACGACTTACTGTTCAAGGTAATGGTACCTAGGGAAGTCTCCTGACTCTGAAACCATGGACTCTGAAGAAGTAGGAGTAAGTTTGAGAAAGGAGCTAACTTACATGGAGAATTGTACCCAGGAAGCTACCTCTGCCTTCTAGTTCCTGGCCAGATGATTCACAAAGCAGAATCTAGAGGGCCTGTGAAATACTCAGAACAGAAATTTTGCAAGGTTAGATCTAGTTGAGAATTAGGGGCTGGGGGGCGCTGGGGATTTAGCTCAGCGGCAAAGCGCCTGCCTGGCAAGCGCAAGGTCGTGAGTTCAGTTCCCGGTACCGGAGAAAAACCAAAAAAAAAAATTGTGAGAATTAGGGGCTGGGGGATTTAGCTCAGTGGCACAGTGCCTGCCTGGCAGGCACTAGGTCCTGAGTTTGATTCCCAGTACCAAAAAAAGGGAAAAATCTAGTTGAGAATAAGGTAGTCAAAGATGAATCAGAAATCAGGAACCTCAATTAATATTTAAATGGAAAAAAAAGTAAGAATTGTTTTACTTTGCTTTCAGGTGTCAGGAGAAGGGATAAAGGAATTTACCATCAGAGTAGAGAGACATCTGGAACTTCATTATAGGCCAAAGATGATCAAATCCCATTCAATAAGCCACTGCTGAACATAGAGTAAGCAAAGAACCAGAATAGAAAGATGATTACAGGACAGTTTCTATCTTGAAAGAACTTGGAATCCAATAGGCAACCAATCAATTAGTTATACAATCAATTAAATACACAAAAGTAATTCTAATATACCAAGATACATGAATGATCAAACAATATACAAGACAGAGAAGTAATACAGACTACAGAACAATATATTTCTGTGGGGAGAAACAGAGTAATCAAGGAGGTGACTCATGACAAAAGTATAGGGAAATGTTCCAATCACACAAAAATGCAACAGCCTAGAGGCAGGAGAAAGTGAGGCACTTTCAGGCAGATGAAAGAGAGTAAATGGCAGGAGATAAAAGGGTATAATCAAATTTGTTTTAGAGAGAGCGTTTTGCAAATTGAAGAACGGTACATTAGTTGTGGAAGAGACAAAAACCAGAAAGATTAGTTATATTACTGTAATAGTCAAGCTGAAAGATACTTAAGGTTTGAACTAAGTCAGTAGTAGAGGAAGTGAAGCATTGATTTAAGAGACAGGAATATTAAGCAAGATGCTGGCAGCCTTGAGAAAGGGTCTAATCTAAAAAGAAGAAATTAAATAAGTAAAAGTGCAAACAAGGAATATGATAAAAAATTAGGGAGTTAGGTATCCCAAGACAGATCCTTAGCTGGGCATGGTGGTGCACACCTGTATTCCCAGCACTCTGGAGGCTAAGTCAGGAGTTTAAGGATAGCTTGGGCTATAGCGTAAGTTCAAAACCAGCCTGAACTACATAGAGAGACCTTGTCTCAAAATACTAAATCAAAAACAAAAACAAAAAAACAAGACAGATCCTTAAATAAAATATGGCAAATTTGGAATCAGTATATTTCAAAATTCTTAGTTGCTGCATGGATGGCAGTGAGCAATCCCTCTTCACATAGAAGATAAAATGCTACTATCTGATGGTATGTGCAACAAAAGGAATGAACACATTCATTGCCCGTGATCTCAGAATTTGTGCCCTTTGATGGTACGTTCACTGTCATTTCTCATGGAAGTCCACATACAATATGTACTGAGGGAGAAACAAATGCCAGGCTGGGATTGCCTGGTTCAACATACAGAAGAAAGTACAAGGCTTAACCTATAACCTGGGTGCAAAAAGAGCTTTCTTCCAACAGCTAGCACTTTGTGATCCCTCCAGGCCAGGTGTGGAATCTGAGCAAACAGTGGTACCCAGTTAAGTTTGGCCAGTTAAGTTATATTCGTAGACAGAGTTAAGCTCTGATTAAGGTAATGAAAGACTGGAATGCACAATATCTACCAAGGCTCTTCAATATTCATGCTGCATCCCCTCCTCTGCTTGCTGAGAAAGACAGTATTTTCCGGGGATCTTGTATATACTAGAAAAACATTTCTCTCTCTCTCTTTTTTTTGGGGCTAAGGGTTGAACCCAGGGCTCTGCACATGCTAGCCAAGCACTCTACCATTGAGGTACATGCACCCCAAATCCTACTTACTGACTACTTACTTATTTACAGACAGAGTTTTGCTAAATTGCCCAGGCTGGCCTCAAAGTTGCAACCATTCTTCCTCAGCCTCTTGAGTAGCTGGCATTTTAGGCCAGACAAGATAAGCATTTTTTTTGCATGCACAGGAACTTGTGTAAGAAAAGCGTAGGTTCCACTAGGCAAGTTGCAAAATGTAAGATGATTCTTGCACTCACAGTCCCTTCTAAGTTGCACTGGCCTTACTATAGTCTCCCACGGGAATGGTTTAAGGGGCCTTATTTTGTACAGTTTCACCCCAATCTCTCTGCTGGTTAGTGACTTATGGGATAGATGAGTATTCTCCAACCCAAATAAACAAAGTCAGAACAAAAACCAACCTACCTACCAACAACTGAAATTCTTGAGTTAATCAGATTTTTGCTTTCAGACACCTGAATTAGAAAATGAAAAGATCAAAGCAGTGGGAAAGAAAACTGAACATAAGACACACAGAGTGAGGCCATGAAAGAATTAAATCATGAGGAAGGACAGTGTAAGAGCCATGAAAGTAGGGGATGAGTGGGTTGAAGTTATAGAGAAGTGGAATACACACAGGGGAAGTGGTAAGAAGTGAAGAAGGAAGCAGACAGGAAGAAAGTGAGGGCATTTTAGCTATAGTGATATGTTTGGGTCAGGGCAGTGATTCTTATGTAGTGCCATTTTTTATTCCAAATAATTTTTCAGTTCCTAGTTTTCTGCTATGAGGTCCAGTTCTGCTAAGGTTTCTGTTCTTTTTATGGCTGGGTCACTAGCTATATCCCTAGGCACATATGCTCTTTCATTTAAACACCTGTTTAGCTGAGGTAACTTGAACAGATTTCACTAAAACTAGAACAAATGAAAGAGAATGCATTCAGAATTAAGAAATCATGGTTCAGCACCAGCAAGTATATTTAGAAAGGCTTTCCATTTCTGAAACAAAAAGCTCAGTAGGTCAATTAATACTTTGCTCATTTATTCAAACAATGTAAGTTTAGCACCTACTATGTGCCAGACGCTGTTAGGGGATACATTAACATCCTCACAACTGAGTCTTTGGTTTAATGAAGTTCAATTCTAGTGAGACAGACAGGCCATAATCACATAAACAGCCACAGAGTAATGTATAATGTGACAGGTGCTGTGACAAAGCAGAATAAAGGGATGGCTTGTGAATGACAGTTTTGGATCATAGGTTAGGGAAGGTTCTCAGCAGAAATAATGACTTTTGAATAGACACTTTAATGAGATCAGAACCATGCAATTGCTACACTTGACATTGTTTTCATTTCAGATTGCTGCATATTAGGAAAAATATAAATTGTAAATTTCTCAAATGAGATAAATCAGGAGAATAAAAGAACTCAAAACCATGTTAGCCAGGTGTGGTGGCGCATGCCTGTAATCCCAGCTCTCAGGAAGCTGAGGCAGGAGGATCCTTGTGAGTTCAAGGCCAGCCTGGGCTACAAAGTGAGCTCAAGGCCAGCCTAAACTTCATAGCACGATCCTGCCTCAAAAAGGCAAAAACAAACAAAACAAACAAAAGACCATGTTATAGGCAAAAAAGTTCAAAATATTAGTAATATTTAACCTGAAGAAACATAGCTTGGAGGGAAAATAATGGATTGCATAAAAAAGTTGAAGGACTCTGGAGGAGGCATTAGACTTGTTCTGTTTGGTCTATTGGGTAAAAGTTTCAGAAAGACTGCTATTAACTGGTTAAAGATTTGGGTTTTTTTTTTAGATATAGGAAGATCATTCACTTGATAGTGAAATGATGGCAGGGATATGAATGTCAGATGAACGATAGTGTGGAAGACTTCTAATACTCTGAAAAGTCTTTGATTCTATGACATTTAGGAGCAGTGTAATTATTACCTCACAAAAGATCCCACTCCTAGGCCTTTTCACTGTAGACAGAGAAAGGAATGTGGACAAGGCAGTCATCTTCAAGAAAGGAAGGTACAGTCCTATGGATCTATTTCCCAATTTATCTTTAAATGTTCATTTTCTCAAACAGTTTGCTGATAGAATCCTTCCCCACACCGAGTAACTTCTCTATTGTTCACTTCCAAGGGCCAGTAGGAAATTGCAGTCAGTTACTTAAGAAATGGACTGACTTTGAACAAGCTATTTGGCAATGAAACATAAGTATTATCCCTCTCAGAGAACTGCTTCCTCTGGTTCTGGTTTCTGAGTTCCCAGTTCCCCAACGTGTTGTCCTATCATTTTAAAGGAATTGTAGCAGGCCAGGAACTTACTGAAGCTCTTTTTTAAAGAGAAAAAACAATGACACAAATTTCAAAATAAGATAATAGGAGAGTAACAATGGTTAATGCATTGATGCATTGTGTATTGTTATCTTCAAAGTAGTTGCTCACAGTACAAGCTAGAAGGCATGAAAAACTGACCAAACAATATTAGCACAAACCTTTCTTTTCCATGAACTAAGGGAAATAGTAGCATAGGTATCTTAACTATCCTGCATATATAT